GGCCCCGGAACTGTCCCTTCCCACCTAGCCTGTGAGAAGCCCTGGGTGCTAAGCCTTGAGTGGGCCAGGGGTATATCCTCACCAGGAGCTTTATGAATTGTGGAGCAACAGCTTATAGGGAATGGTAAAGGCAGGGGCCTTGTTACCCCTGGGCTCAAGCCTGATTAGGTAATATTGAGCCTGTCATTTTCCTTTTCTGAGCCTCAGTTTCTTCATTTGTAAAAAAAAAAAAAAAACTAAGCAGATTATTTATGTAAGTATTATAAGTTCACCTCATAAGACTGATGAGAGGATTAACTGAGGTGATGCATGAGAAGTGGGGGCCTGGCTCTACCACGCTGATAGTGACCTGTGGAGCTGTGGGCCCAGAATCAAAGCCTGCAGCCTGAGCCCACAGCAACACACAGATCCACGTGCAAGCATGCATGCACTCCTTCACATCCCCACACACTCTGCGCACGGCACGCGGCCTTCCATTCACTCTTCCACACCCACACACACATTTAAACTCACCTGTGTGTATCCATTCCCATGTGTACACACATGCACCCTCACAGACTATATGTATCTGAAGGCAGACCCTGCAAATAGACCTGCACACATGTGCAAATGTACACTCACGCAGGTGACCACAGGTGCCTGGATTTGCGTCACACGTGCCTGTCCTCGCCTGTGGCTCTGCTCTTCTCAGAACCACCAGCCCGGCACTGGCCACCAACCAGTGGGGGAAGACCTTCTGCAGTCCAGGGCAGTCCAGCCAGCTCCTGGGTCCTCCCATGTGCTGGGCAAGTTCTCTCGTCTAGCCTGTGCCGCCCAGCATGGCCCTGTTTGGCTGAGCTCTCGGGTCCTCTCCCCGTGCAGCTCAAGAGCACCCCAGAGGGCAAGCTTCCCTGTGGCCCCACCAGAACGCTCTGACCCCCAGCCCTGAGTTTTCCTGCCCCCGCCTGTCTGGCATCACTCTGTGTTCCCCACTGAGAGGGGCCCAGAGCTCTGAGGGTGGATGGTGGTTCATTCCCCCTTGTGCCCTCCTGACGTCCAGCACTGGGTGGTGATTCTGGAATGGGGCTGCATTGAAGCAAACCATGCTGATGTGTGGGCACCAGAGGTTACTCTTAGCTCTGCACAAATGCCCAGAGGAACTGGCAAAGCCGGGCCTGTGACTACCGACCCCTGACCTGCGGGTCCTGGGCGCCCCTTCCTGGCCCAGAATTCCCCCAGGGTCCTCATATGGTACTGCCTCCAGCCCCTGCTGTCCTGACCACTGACCCACAGCCTGAGCCTGAGACAAGACCCCTCTCGGGCTGGACAAGCCTGCGGGCAGATCTCAGGCCTGGTTTCCCTGCTCTAAGTAGACAGACTCCCAGCCCACTGAAAGAGGCTGCTTTTCCGGGCGCCTGAAAATCTGCCTGCAGGCAACGCTTCTCAGAGGCTGATCCTCTGTATCAGGACCGCCCAGGGTGCTGGTCAAAGCAGATGCCGAGGCCTGCCCCCACCTTCCTGAACCATAACTGCTGAGTGAAGCCTGGGAGGCAGCACAACAACAAATTCCGGTAGTCAGTCCAGTTAAGGATCTGACAGACACTGCCCAGGGCAAATTTTGGCAGCTCCATTTTATAGCCCTTAGGCAAGTCCCTTGATGTTGCTGAGCCTCAATTTCCCTGTCTGTAAAATGGGGATAAAAAAGGTGCCTATCTTGTGGGGCTGCTCTAGGAGTAAAATGAGACTGTGACAATGAAGTGCCCAGCATAGCACCTATGCAGAGCCAGCAAATGTGAGTGCTGGGGGCTTCTGAGGGCGGGGCCCACCTGGAGGTTCTCTGGGCCTCAGGAAGCCTGGTGGAGATCCTCTGGGCCTCAGGAAGCCTGGCCCTGAAGTGCCCTCCGCCAAGATGCCCCGCCACCTAGTGGCAGCTGTGTCAGGCCGTGTCCAGCTCTCCTGCTACCGCCCACAGGAGGTCCTCTTGTGGTGCTTACAGCAGCTTTCACCCTGCCTCCCCTCCCACTGGCATCCCCTCCCTGCCCTGCTGCCCTGGGAGCCGAAGAACCGGTGTGGCGTCAGCCCTGGCCCTCCCTCCAGCTTTGTAATAAAATAGCCAGCTCAGGTCAGCTTTCCGTGGCAGAGAGGCCACCTGGTGCAGGGCAGGGCGGGGGTGGGGGGCACCTAGGGAAACATCTCCTTCAGTAAGCACCAGTTACAGCTTAGTGTTCTCCAACTGGGTGACAACCCCCCTCCCAACTCCCCCCAAAACCTTCTTATTGTCTTCCTTACTTTCATAGTCCCTCACCATTCATTTATCCATGCAGTTCATTCATTCATTCATTCATTCAATACTGAAGTGTCTGCTGTGTGTCAGGCACTAGGGCTCGATGGTGACCATCAGATTGGCAAACTTTTCTGTAAAAGGCCAGATAGTAAATACTTTCAGCTTTTGGGGCCAAAATACTCTGCCCTTGTACCAAGACAGTAGCTGTAGACAGTATGTAAATAAACAGGTTGCTGTGTCTGTGTTCCCATTAAACTTTGTTTGTGGGTACTGAAATTTGAATTTTATAGAATTCTCATGTGTAATGAAATACTCTTTTTTTTACTTTTCCCTCTACCATATCAAAATGTAAAAGCTATTCTTAGTTTGGAGGCTACACAAAACCAACAACAGCCAGTGGGGGTCCCACACGAACACCACGGAGCGGGTCATGCCCTGCCGACGCCAATCCGTCTAATAGGTGAGGCCTTCCAAGGGGCTCAGCGCAGAGGCGCCCACTGAAGCCCACCAAGTCTATCCCCTCAATGCCACATATGTTCCCTGTGGCTTAGATATGGGGTCTCCTTTAGGACCAGAAGCTTTTGGAGGGCAGGAACAACTTCCAGCATTTGGAGTTAGAAAGCACCTGGGTTCAAACACAGGCTTGACCGCTCCCTTGCTGAGTGACCTTGGGTGAGTTACTTAACATCCCTGCCTCAGTTTCTTCACCGGTTAGCCTGACCTCCTGGGATGTTGGATGGAGGAGCTCTTATGTGCATGCACGGTGCTCATAGGACTCGGGCCAGTGCTCGCCGGCGCTCATCCTCTTTGCCCAGGTGGAGGCTCAGCTTGCTCTGTCTTCCAGAACAGGGCCCCTCCTTCTGCCTCCAAAGCCTCTGCTACCTTATCCGGTTTCGGTCTTTCACAGCACTTATCATTCTGTGACATTTTCTTCTTTATTAGGGTTTTTTCAGTTTCCCCTCTGCTGGAATTTAAGCTCCTCAAGGGCTACACTTTTGTGTGCTTTAATTATTATGTTACCCTCACAGTATGGAAAGACAGATAATACCCCCTACGTAATAGATGAGACTACTGAGGCCACCTGCTTAGTGAGTTACAGATGAGGATTCAGGGCCAGGTCTGTCTGTCTGTCAAAAGCTCACATCTTGAACTGCACCACAAGACGGAGCTCGATTAATCTGGCAAGATGGGTGCAGGGTGCAGGGTGGGGGCTGGGTACAGAGGCGTTGCGTCTGGTAGTCTGTTTCCAGCAGCAGCAACAGGTCCGGAGGCACTTATGGGCCAAAGTCCTAAGGGCCTCCTCTGCCACTGCGGTAGGAGGCAAAGCCAGGGGGGATTCCCTCCTGCCTCTTTGGAGCTCGTGCGCTGTTTAGACAGACATATACTCGTCTCTTCACTGCAAAGCAGGCTGTGCTGTGAAGGATTACGGAATGTCTTACAGGTGCCGTCTCTGTCTGCTCAGGCTGTGCAACAGCACACTGTAGACTGGGTGGCCTAAACAACAGGAATCTACTTCTTGCAGTTTTGGAGGCTGGAAGTCCAAGGGAAGTGGCAGCCAGTTCAGTTCCCGGTGGGAGCTTCTTCCTGGACTACAGATGGCTGCCTTCTCACTGAGTTCCCACATGGCAGAGGATAATTCATCTGTCTTGTGTCTTCTTTTAAGAGCACTCACCCTCCCAAAGGCCCCACCTCCAAATACCATCACACTAGGGAGCAGGGGCTTCAAAACTAAATTTGGGGAGGACACATTCAGTCCAGAGCAGGTGCTGTCCTGCTCGGGAAAGTCAGAACAGTGGGGCCTGGGAGGGTGGAGGCACACCTGGGAAGGCATCTGGGGCAGAGGGGGCAGCAGGAATACAAGGTCAACGAGTCAGGGCCTGCTTGGGGAGCCGTAAGGGCTGCAAATGGATAGAGCCCCGATGGGCAATGGGAAAGGGCAGCAATGCTGTAGCAGGTGGGTAAAGGGATAGCGCCTGGAGTGTGTTGGAAAAGGGCAGTGATGCTGTGTCAGGTGGTTGAGAAGGTAAGTTGGGGTCAAATCACAGGAGACCTACAAGAGGCTGGGAAACAGTGGGCTTCCTAGAGCTGTGGAGTACATATTAAGAGCAAGGACCGAACGGCTGATTGTGTGCGCCAGGTGCTTTACATTTCACAAAGCACTGCCTGACCCTTCCGCTCTGTCCTCACAATTGATAGCATGCAGGCAGCGTGGCAGGTTTAGGATCAGGCACCTCGGTCCACTCCAACCAGGCACGAGTCAAGTGGATTTGAACAAATTCAACTTCACATCCGCAAGTCTCAGCTTACTTATCTCTGCCAACAGAGCCCAGTTCTCAGCGCTTCAGGAAGAACTGCACATGTGAAAACACTGTTTTTAACTTGCGTCCTCAGCTCTTTCATTGCAAAACGAGGACAATTCCCGTCCAGCCCAACTCCAGTGGCCGTGGCTACGATTTTGTGAGCAAAGGCCAAAGGGCAAGAACCTCAGTAAGGAGGTCGGGGAAGTTAGTGTTTCTGGGCTGTGGGCTGAAAGACTCAGAGATAGGGGATCAGGCTCCTTGAATAGCTTCCTAGTACTGGTCACGGTACCTAACAGTCCGCACGAGAGACACGTTGCGGCGCAGGGAGTGACGGCCCGGGTCGGCCACTTAAAGGGCCAGGACTCCTCGAGCCCCGCCTCCGCCGGCCAAGGATCACCAATCAGCGAGCGAGTCTCACCGTGACGCTCTCTTCTCGCGACGAAGCCGAGTGGCGGCGGGCTTCCTGGTGACAAGAGTCCCGGCGCCGGGGCCATGGGCAACCGGGAGGTGCTGGGCCAGGCGGCCCGGCTGGCCTCCACCGGTCTGCTCCTGCAGGTATCTTCTGCCCCTCCGGCCGCAGCCCGACCAGCGGCCGGGGTTCCCGGGGAGGCGGCCCTGGGGCCGTTGAGAGCCCGCCCCGGGGCAGACCCTGTCCTGGAGTGGACCCCGCTACCGAGGGGTCCACCCGAGGCGGTGGCGGCGGCCAAGGGTCCCCGGGGCCCGGAGTCTGCGTTCAGTCCTGCCGAGAGACTGCAAGCAAATCCCGTTCCTTCTGAGCATTGTATTTCCCAAATGGTAGTAGGAGAGGGTTAGAGCAGGTGGCAGGGGTGCCTTCGGTGCTCTAGAATCTGATATTTTTAAGGCAAGGGATTCGTTTTTGCTGTGCCCCACCCTTGGCCCTCAAACATTTTCTTTCAACTCTGACTCCACTGAGTTCAGAGACAATATGGCATACTTAAGAACAGGGACACCTGGGCACGGGCTGGCTTGGATTGGAATCCTGGTGCTGCCTTGTGCTTGCTGTGTCCACAGTTCTTGTTTCAAAGAGGCTGCATTGCACTTTCACTGGAGAAGGAACCAGGCCAGGCATACTTGGGGTCAAGGATAGGCCTGTCACTTGCTAGATGCCTGCCCCTGTGAAAATCACTTAACTTAAAGCATCAGTTTCCTAGTCTTAAATGACAGCAATAATGCAACCTCAGTAGGGTCCTCAGGGAGATTCATGAAATGCCCGTTAAGTGCCTTAGCTCTCTTTATTATGGTAATAAGGGTTTTTTTAAACGGTCGTTGTAGGGGTGAAATGAAATAAGCTACATAAAGCATGTAGAAGAGTGCCTTGCACAAGATACGGGCTTAATAAACATTAGCTATTCGCTTAACTTTAAAGACGGTGAACCCCAAGGTTACCTAGTTTCTTTTTCTATTTCATAACGTAACTGTTTTTAAGTTCAGCCCTTTATCCACGGTGTCGATTGTTCAATCTTCAATGATACTTTACCACCCAGATGATTTCATAAAAAGAAAACAGGTCTTCGGAGAAAACACTGGACTAGGAGTCAGATGGCCTGCCCCTAAAGTCAAGCTGGATCATCTGCTTGCTGTGTGACATTAGGCAAATCGCTTTGCTCTGTGTCTTGCTTTCCGTGCACTTACCTGTTTGCCTTTAAGGGTCAAATAACATGTGCAAGGTTTTTTTAAACTGTAAGGCTCTTTTCAAACGTAAGTAAAACTGTTGTTAATGTGGGTCGCTATGTGGAACAAATACTGAACAGCATGGGCAGTCAGCTTCCTTAGCTTAAACCTTTATTCAAACCAGTTAGGACGTAAGGATACGTATAGCATGAGATAACTGTTTCTTAGACAACACAACGATAACTTTGATTTTGAAGTTAATATGTGTGTGTATGTGGTTTTTTTTTAAACTATAATCCTTAGGTTTCTTGAGTGTTTTAATTTGGTCTTGTATTCCTTCTTACATTACAATGTAGACACTTGGGGTAGCTTTGCAATTAAACATTGTGTTTTGTGAGAATTAGAGCCTTCTCTCTGTCTTAATTCTGAGCTGGCTATAGTGAAAGTATTAATGCTTTTCGTTTGTTTGCATTTTTCAAAAATGCTGGCACCTCTGTGATCTCTTTGATCACTCCTATGAGACAGAGGAGGAAATTGAGGCCTTAAAGAATTAGGAGATGATGGGTTTAACAGAGAAGGAGTTGAGACTCTCACCTGAGTGCTTTTTCCGTTATGGGCTCCACAAATTGACTTCAGACCTCTGAAATTGAGCACGGAATTGGCTGTATGTATGTATGTACCTGCATGTCTCTAAGGAGGGCGACAGAGCTTTCATCAGACTCTCAAAAGGTCACCTTTGACTCTGTGAAGGTTAAGATGGTGCACTCTTAGCTTTGGAGGCCTTACTGCTCTGTGACACTTCGGGGACATTAAGCTGCACTCTCCCTTTTTGGTCACACCTTTCCTCAGAGATTTTCAGACCCTAGTAGTCTGTCGGCCATACTTGGAATCCCCCAGATTGCAGCTGTGCACCAGTAACTGAGTGCTTGCTGTAGAGTGAGTGGTCATTGGCTCCGGCGTGCACTTGAGCTACACTGTCAGGATGCAGAAGGGACCAGGCTCATCCCCAGCCAGCACCCCCATTAGCCACCCCATTGAATTGCCACCTAGCGTTCTCTGTCTCATGAGAAGAATTCTTTGCTCAGGTGATTGTTTTGAATTGACAGGTTTGAAAGTGTGAGGATGCATTCTTTTCAAATGACACTAGCTGGACTTGGTCTCCCTTTGCCCTTTATATTATTATTGCAGTTGTCACTTAAAAGATATTTCAACTTGCTGTTGATTGGGATCCCCAGATATCACTGGGCAGGAAAGAAAGAACAATTAGAGGCCGTGATTCCTAGGGGTGGTGCTATGCCCTGCAGGTTCCCACTTGCTAAGTTGTGTGCTATTTCTCAACAGGCTGCTGAGGGCAATGTAAAGCAGTAGCTAGAACTCTCTGCCTCTTGCAGTACCTGACTTTGAACCTGAAGACATTCATTCACTGAGTCTGTTGGGGCCCCCCTTTTCTCCTCAGCAAATTAGGGAGACTTCCAAGTGCCTTCCTGGGTTCCTTGATCTCTGCCCAGGAGTGCCGACAGGCCCCCAGGAATGAAATTTCAGAAGAAACGTGGGCAGGTTGAGCATCTTAGAGTGGGTCTCCATGGTAAAGCTGCTGTATGCCATCACATGCGGAAGAGCATCTGCATGGTTTTCACTTTAGCAAACATTCCTACCATAATTTATTCTGCAGTATTTTTCTTTTCTTTCGGTAGGTGGTGTTTCGGTTGATCACCTTTGTCCTGAATGCATTTATTCTTCGCTTCCTGTCAAAGGAAATCGTAGGCATAGTGAATGTCAGGTAAGAAGAGACGTACCCTGGCGCTGTCCACAGCTCGCATCCCTCGTCAGGTGTTCTTCAAACTCCGGACCCTCAGGGTTTAGAAGCATGGACCTTTACCAGAGGCAGAGGGTTTTTGCCGTGGGCTGGGGAGGCATGTGCTGGGGTGGAGAAGGAGCAGGTGATGTTGCTTATAATGGACTCATGGAGGGTTTTCCATTAGCGGCCTCCAAATGCCCATTTCTCTGCCAGCTGCTCCGATCGCCTGCTCTTAGACCCCGGGAGAGGAGTGGGGGTAATTCACTGCAAACCCTGTCTCAGGTATAATCCTGTGTCCCCGTCCTGCTGACAGCAAAGGAAGCAGGAGCCCTGCAGCTCGTGAGGAAGTGCTTCATAATTGCAGGGCTGGCAAAGCCTCCTTTCTTCCATCCTCAGCGCCCTTTATAATTGGGAAGTGGCAGTTTGCGTGCGAGCTGGAGTCCTTGTCAGCTCCCTGGAGGCTCTTTGAAAGCTGACTTGCTTTGTCTCTAGGCTCGTGTGTTTCTTCTGCTCTCCTCCTCTCGGTTCAAGGACACCCACATGTAGTCGGTGCTCACAAGCGACTCCAAAGCATAGGAAGTGCTGTGAGTGCTCAGAATAGCTCAGCTCCTCAGGTGTGTCTTCACATCCTGATAGGCAAGACAGTGTGTTCCAGACAGCGTTCCATGTCTAGTGCCTACCAAGCAGATGCTCCTGGCTTTTCTCCGAGCTCGGTGAAGGCTCTGAAGTTTTGATAAGGAATCATCTGGGGAGCTTTGCGCTGGGTAGGGCTGACGAGGGGCCCAGGACTCCGCATTGTGACAAGCTCCTCCTGTGATTTTGCTGTAGAGACCATACTTTGAGAAATAACTGTTTTAAAAGTGGGAAGGAAGAGGGCCAAATCCTCTTGGTGCTCAGACTTTAAGGCGGTTTGGGCCTCTCGCCAAGACTGGAAGGCCCCTGCTTTGTCAGCCCTCAGCTGGCCTGTCCCCCTCCTTTGCTATGGTTCGGTTTGTGTTGCAAGGTTGGAGAGAAGTGCCAGGTGGCAGGATGGTCACTGGACAGCCTCAGAGGCCTCAGCCTGGGCCACCCCCACTCTGGCTTCGTCTGGCCGAGGGAAACCTAGGCTGCCCCTCGCTAAGGTTCAGGAGGGTCCATGTAAGTGCTCCCCTCTGGGAGGTACGCAGGCAAGACTTGGTGCCCTGGTTGCAGCAGCCTAGCCTGTTTCCCATCCCAAGCTGCCCTGGCCAGCGCCTCCCTTCAGCAGGGGCTCAGCTCCTTTCGTGAGCGCTGTTGGGTCACCAGTGTCAGGGTGACCAAGAGGTCCCCTTGCCGTGTGGGGTCACTTCTTGACCTTTTCTCCTCTGTGTGGTCCAAGCCACATCTCTGCCTGCAGCCAGGATGCTGCAGGCTCTGGAGGCACTGCGGCAGTTTGCGTCGGGGGTGTTGCTCTGTAGGCACACCTGCAGGTCTTGCTCTCTTGCTGGAGAGGCTCAGATGGGGCAAGGGTCCTGTAAGAACTCAGTGCCCTCCACCGCACCGCCAAGACCACCTCTCCCTGTTGCTGGCAAGATCTCAGAAATTCTCTCCAAGAGAAAACTAGACCATACTGATTTCTGCTCTTCCTTTTCAGGCTGACGCTGCTTTACTCGACCACCGTCTTTCTGGCCAGAGAGGCCTTCCGGAGGGCGTGCCTGAGTGGGGGCGCCCAGCGAGACTGGAGCCAGACCCTCAACCTCCTCTGGTTAACGTGAGTTATGCTCTGTCAGGCGACAGTTTCACAAAGGCCAGCGTAGTAAGTGTTGGAAGTTAAACAGCACCATTTGCCTAAAGCGGAGTCATCTCCAGTTTTGGTTTCGCAGTGGGTTCTGGGGACTTGGCCTGGCCCAGGCAGGAAACAGCCTCTGTGCGGGAGCAGCCTCCTGGCTGTGTTCTCTGGACAGCCAGGAGCTGGAAGGGGGCTCCGCTGGGGTTCCTGCCACGTTTCTAGCCCCATTCGACCCTCTTCAGAGGTTGCTCCTGAGGTCGCTCACCCCTACTCTGGGCCCCACGGAGTCTGGGCCAGCTTGTTTAGGCCTGATCTTTTCCCTGTGGTGATTTCTGAGTTTCTAGCAATTACTTAGTCTTCTTGGAACACCTTTTAGGGGTTTCGTTATCTCTTCCTTCCATTTTGTTACGTGGATTTCAGTTCTGAGTCTTTTCAAGTGTTCTCGAAGACAAAGCCCCTCGACCAGAAGGGTCCTGGCTTTTCTGCGTTGGATCCCTGCAGGGGGGGCCGGGGTTGAGGTTGTCCCCAGTGCTGCCCTTGTATCACTCACTGCCTCGTGGAAGCAGCCATCTTGAGGGCTGGTGGGTGCTCAGCTTACTAGAGGGAAGGCTGCTGATGACCCCGCCAGATTTAAGGGCTCTGTGGTGCATGTGTGAAGGGGTACTGTGCACTGGACCGTGGGGTTTTAGGGGGACAACCAGCCGTATGCTTTCATCATTCTAAGTGCAAACAGCAGGCACACACTTGCTCATGGAGTCAGGGTAACAGTGGATGGCGTGTGGGCTTTGGTGTTGACAGACCAGGATTGGGGCCTGCTCCTGCCCTTGGCTAGCTGTTTGGGACCTTGGCCAGATTGCCCAGTGCCTGTCAGCCTTAGTTTCCTCATCATTTAAGGGGGCATAATGACAGGACCTTTGTGAGCTGGCAGTAAGGTGAGGGGGCAAATCTCAGTGCCTGGCATGTGTACATGTCTTAGTTAGGTGGCAGCTCTTTTTATGACTCTTTTTCTTTTCTGTTCATTGTTACTATTTTAATATACATTTATGTCTATTTTTATGTTTAGCATATTATAAATCATTTTCCCTTTTCCAGAGTCCCCCTGGGTATATTCTGGTCCTTGCTTCTCGGCTGGATATGGCTACGGTGGCTGGAAAGGCCCGACCCTAATGTCGTCCCCCACTATGGGACCGGCGTAGTGGTGTTTGGTCTCTCGGCCGTGGTGGAACTTCTGGGAGAACCCTTCTGGGTCTTGGCACAAGCTCATATGTTTGTCAAGCTGAAGGTCAGTGTGACTTTTGCTGTGAGCAGGAAGTGTGAAGAATCAGAAAAGGGTTTTTTTTTTCTAAATGCTTTTATAAGGGAGAATGTGTTTTTCAGACCTGCATCTAAAAAGATTGGGGAAAAAGCCACATGGGCAGTTGAGTTCATTTGGTTGAAATCTGGCAGATGAGCTGAGCTGAGCTTGCCTTTCCTATACTGTTAATGATGTTATTCCTTAAAATGAGAAGTTAAGGCGATTGTAAAGGTGTCTCAGATTTTTCTAATGGTCCTATTTTTAGTTGTATACTAATGTTAACTTTTCATGTTCTAGAATATATAATTCGCTATGTACAAAAGAATACATATAACATATATGTAAATGTGAATGCATGGTGATGTAGAAGGTCTGGGTACCTACCACCCAAGCCCAGTGGAACGGTACTGGTACCACGTCCAACCACGTACCCTGCCCCCAGATTTCTGTTGGCCGTTCCTCGGCTGCTGAGTCTGCAGTCACGCCCGTGGAGTGCTCCTTGTCTGTCCGCAGGTGGTGGCCGAGAGCCTGTCCGTAGCCCTCAGGAGCGTCCTGACAGCTGTGCTCGTGCTGGGGTTGCCCCACTGGGGGCTGTACATTTTCTCTTTGACCCAGGTAAGAGCTACGGCTTTAATTTTGTATGATCTGTGTTTCCCCACCTGTATTTCTCTTCCTGTGTGGTTTACATTTGCAGTATTTGTGCATATGAGGAAGGCAGGAGGCTCTGGAAAGACGGCCTGCACACTGCCCTCCTCCCGCTGCCGCATCTGCCCCGCTCCGCACGCTGGCACCGCTGGTGTCCCCAGGACCTGGTGAGGGCCACGCTTATTGTCAGACACAAAAACACCTTTAGACATTCTTTAGGCAAACCCAAATCAAGCTGATCTCTGATTGTCTGGCTGTCTTACAGAGAGAAAAAGAGCAGTAAGCGGGTGGGGTGGGGATCAAATCGCCTGTGTGTTATTTTCCCTGGATTTCAATTTGTTATGTTCAGAATAGGAGGAAACTCTGCCAAGCCTATTTTAAACTTCGATTGAAATCTCACAAGATTCGGAGACATGAATCAAGTGACGGCGGGGACGTTTGCAGTATGGGCAGTTTTGACTTCATTTGCATCTTATCACTTTCTAGTTCTAGTTCATATTTCTAGTCCTAATAAAAATATAACTAGAATAGAAATGCCAATTTATAAAATGAAACTTTAGATCAGATGGTTACCAGAACATCTTAAAGTACAGAGCCGTTTGTCATTTTTCCTAACATATAGGAAGATAAATTAAAATTCTTAGTAACGATTTATGTGAAAATCTTTCCATGTCCTAGGCAAGAAACTACAAGTATTTTTGTGAAACACAGAAGAGTTAGATTTAAAATTAATAAAATAAGAACGAGAATTGCCTCCTAAAAGCAATTTGCAAACACTTGCATACTTTTAAGAAGTTGTTTGTATTGTTTTTGCCATGTTTTGTTGTATCTGGAACCACAACAGGCCTGATAGGACAGGAGGGCCACGGAGATACCCAGTCATTGGTTGACTCTTCTTGGGAGAGTCATTAGTTGACTTGCATTGTGACTTTCTCACTGTCACACCTGCCACCCAGTGTACATCATAGGTCTTAGGTCGACAAGGGCTTTCTTGTCATGAGACTTATGAGAGCTGCTCTCTGGTATATTCTCAGTGTCTGTGGGAGGTCGAAGAGCCAGCAGCACCTCCCTTCAGCAGGCAAGCCCCACCCGGGGCCCTGGGGTTCCCCTCTGTCCAGCTGCCTCCCAAGTCCTCCTTAAATGGCTCCTCACCCCACGGCATCATATGTCAAATAGAGTTCACTCTAGAATATAAAAAGAATTCTTACAACTCAACAGCAAAAGGACAAACCACCCCAAAGGGGGGTAAAGGACATGTGTAAACATTTCTCCAAAGCCAACGAACAAATTATGGTCAATCGGCACAGGAAAAGATGTTCAACATCATTAGTCATTAGGCAAATGTAAATCAAAACCACAGTGAGGTAGTGCTTTACAGCCATTAAGATGGCTATTATCAAAAACACAGAAAACAACAAGTGGTGGTAAGAAATTGGACCGTCGTCACTGTTGGTAGGAATGCAAAATAGTGCAGCTGCTGTGGAAAACAGTTCTGCACTTCCTCGGAAGTTAAGTGTAGAACTGCCATGTGACCCAGCAGTTCCTCGGTCTATACCAAAAGAATCAAAGAGAGATGTTTAAACGACTGGGACACAGATGTGCACAGCAGCCAAGAGGCAGGAGCAGCCCACATATCCGTCAGAGAATGGCTACACACACTGTGGTGTGCCTGTGCAGGAGGTTAGTCTTCAGCCACAAAAGTGAAGTGCTGATACACGCCCCGACTCAGGGACCCTTGAAAACATCATACCGCGCAACAGAAGCCAGACACAGAAGGCCACCCCTTGTATGATTCCATTAACATGTGATGTGCAGGGTGGGCAAGCCCATCGGGGCAGAAGGCCGACGAGGGGTTGCGGGGGCTGGGGGAATAGAGTGCAATTGCTTAATGGGTGCAGAACTTCCTGTCGGAGGGATGGAAATGCTCTGGGATCAGATCTCAGTGGTGGCTGCTCCCGGGTGTGACCGCACTAGAAGTGTCAGTCCCGACAGTCTGCCTGCCTGTGGCGGGACGGCCTTCAGTGTCATGTGAGCTCCTCAGTAAAGAAGGGAGAGGCCCATGTGGCTAGGGCGTGCTGCATGAAGACCCCCACGGGTCATGACTGTTCCCCTGGGCTCTGATCAGTGGGAAGATGAAGCCAGGCGGCAGAGGGGGCTGGAAAAGGGTACTTGTCCGGGAGGATGCTGGCATCGGGTGGAGTGGCCCCGCCAGCAGTGCTGGGTCTCAAAGGGCACGAGAAGACGAGGGCGGATGGCGGGCCCTGTCCTCAGGTGTGGGTGGCATACAGGTAGAGGTCTCCACTCCAGATGCCTCTCTCCCCTTGCTCTGTGCCTTTACTGTAGGAACAGCCTGCGTGTTTCCAGATTGAAGCTGGAGGTCTCATTCCTTGTTGAGTTAGTGGGCACTGCTGTTCTGGGAGAGGGTCAAGGGTGAGAGGGAGCCTGTGAGGAGGGGCGTTTGGACGCCCCTCCCCAGCCTGCAGACAACACCCCACGCTGCTCTCCTGGCCAGGAGCCAGCCCCCTGTCCCGGATGGGTGGAGGGGCCACCCTCTTATGACCCCACCCTTCCCACCACCATCCTGTAGCAGCCCTTGTCCTGCCCCTGCCCTGGCCAGAGAGGAGGGAGCCAGCCGCTCAGTTCTGCTCTGTAATCACAGTGTCACAGGTTTCCGGGGTTTATGGAAAATCCCCAGTCCCAGAGGACGCAAGGCCCTGCCTAGGAGCACAGCCAGGACGCTGGCCCTCCTGGTGTGCCGTCTGGGGGTGGGGGAGAGCCATTCCTTTGGCCCAAAAGGAACCTTTGAGAACAAACCTGACGTTGCTGTGGCGGTAGCGCTGGGGACTGTCATGGAAGTTCCGTTCTGCCTGCCTGAAGAACCGTTCTCCCAATCAGGGAAGCGTCTGGGTCCCTGTCCCCAGAGCTGCTGCAGTCCCGCTGGGCCTTATGCGTGGTGCCACTTTCCAGAGGGTGCGGCATCGCTCAGGAGGAGGTGCAGTTAATTAAAGCCATTCTGGAATCATTGAGGTCTTATTTATAGGCATATCTTAATTATGCCTATGTTTAAACAGTGTGATTTAGACCCACTGTTTTCTTCTTTGCAGCTTTTCTATACTGCAGCTCTGGTGCTCTGCTATGTCGGTTATTTCACAAAGTTGCTGGGCTCCCCACAGTCGGCCAAGCAGCAAGCTCTTCCTGTCTCCAGAATGGCAGATGTGTTGCCCAGTATTGGAAGAAGTAGAGTAAGTAATGCATTTTGTCTCAGCACTTGAATCGCAGATGTCGGTCATGCCCCAGGGAGCCTGACTGCAACTCGATTGTTTATTGTTTTAATAGTAAAGCGGTTTTGATAGCTCTTACGTCTTGGGAGCCAGGAATGCCGGCTGTGTGCTAGGCCAGGCTTTCACAGTCTCAGTACTGTTGACATTCAGGGGTGTCCTACGTGTTCTAGGATGCTGACCCGCGTTCTGTCTTCCCTCGTTAGATGCCAATAACTACCATCCCACAAGTGTAACAACCAAAAATGTCTCCAGATGCTGCCAAATTCGTCTCTAGTGGAGAACCACCTGGCTAGGCCCTGTGCTGAGCATTGTGTGGGCTGTTCTCAGTGCTTCTAACAACTCCATGAGCTGACATCTTTATTTCTATTTGAGGGTTGAGGAATTGAGGCTTAGTGGCCTCATACCTGCCGAAGGTGAGGGTCAGAGGACAGGAACTGGGGTACCTCAGATCCCAGCAGAGCACAGGCTGTGAGCACAGTAGGAGGGGGAGGTGCTAACTGCCCCTTGAGAGGTGATGAGGGCAGTGGGCGGGGTGGCGGCGGGAGCCTGGAGGAAGCCGGCGCAGAGCTCCTCTCCGTTCTGCTGTGTCTCTTGGTTTTTCCCAGGGTTGACCTCCAGCCCAGACAGTCCGGCACACTGACAGCAGGGGCGACCCTGCCTGCTCCCTTTATCCGGTGGCAGGCCAGTCAGGGAGGTGGGCTGCTTTCCCACACGGACCACGGAGGATGCTAGATGCTGATGTGTGGGAGTGACACATAACCCTTTTCTGCTCCACTCTCAGACCATTTGACTTGTGTTTCCTGCTGTCTGTGTGGCTCTCTGCCACCATCTGCAGCCCTGCAGCTGCCCACGTGACCGTGCACCACATTGCGCAGCTCCGAGGCTTTGTGAGCTGCTCCCTGCTGGCTGGCCCACTTTCCCTTTGTCCCATCCCTGCTTGCCTGCTGGCTGTGGTGCACTTTAGTTGGGGTCAGGCCGTGGCTGGACTTCTCCTTATTCCTCTTTTATAATCACCTGAAAAAGTGGTAAAGTATTTGGGACTTCAGTCTCAGAACTTATGCAATCCTGTTACGCAGCTTTTCGAGAAAAACCAGATATTATGTAACAAAGGCAGGGACGTTGTCACCTGTTAGATACGAGTTCTCCATTCTGATCAGCTAGATCTTACCTTTAGCCTAACTTGGCCTGGCAGGCTTTAGATGCCAGGGTGCCTCATCCATAGGCGGAGAGCCTTAGGCCTCAGGGTTGCTTCCTCTGCTCGGAGCTGGGCCCCTGCCCACAGCGTGGGTCTGAGAGTGCAGACAAGCCCTCTCTACGAGTGCTCTCCAGTGCCCACCTGTACCAAGCCTGGCCGGCTTTTCAGTAAAACCAGCTGGTGTTTTGGAAAGGAGCACGGGGCCTATTATACGCCCATCCTGTGATTGAAGGGTACTTGGCTTGGCTTGGCAGTTAAGGGTAGGGGGAGAAGAAACAAAAGGTGGCAGGAGGTTATGGCCTGCTGGGTGAGGGCCAGGTCGTGGTGTCCCCAGTGCCAGGCAGTGGGCCCCATTCAGGTCCCCACTTATCAGCCTGATAAGAGGTTTTTGAACAGCATCATGACCTCATTGTCTGTGTGTTAAGTAGCTTACTATCTGGTACAGATTTATCAAGTATCTCCTTTTTTCTTATGCAGTCCTTATACCAGCTCCAGGAGATAAGATTTCTTATCCCATTTTGCAGATAAGAAAACTGAGGCTTAGCAAAGTTAAGTGTCTAGATCGCTGGCCTTCACACTAATAAGTCAGGAGCTGCAGTTTGAACCCAGCCTCTGAGCTTGACTCCGAGGCCCAGACCTTACCACAGGAAGGGGGGACTAGAGAAAAGGTTGGATCTGTAAAAGCTCAGGGAGGGAGGTGTAACTGCCCCTTGAGAGGTGATGAGGGCAGTGGGCGGGGTGGCGGCGGGAGCCTGGAGGAAGCTGGACCAGAGCCCGTAGCCCTGGGGTGAGGGGTGGGGAGGAAGGAGGGCTGTGTGGATTGACTCGCGTTGGTTGGGCGGGAAGGATGTGAGGATGTGGCTGGTCTGATGTCCGGAGTCAGAAGAGTTTGGGACGGGGAGGGTGAGCCAGGTGATGTCAGAGTGAGCCACCCCCAGCTCTGATTTTGGACTTCCCTGGAGGCCCTGCGCAGCTCCTTTCCCCACCTGTGCCTCTGGTTCGCCGTCTATTCAATAAGGCAGTGGGGTGCCTTGTGTTGCTCAGGGGTGCTGGAGAAATTCACAGCTAGGTAGCCAGCCGTGTAGACCAGCCAAGCAGTCCCGGCCTGGCTCTTGTGCAGTGGATCGCTCTTGACCATCTCAAGTGACAAGTCCATTCTGAACAGCACAGTGAAAGCCCAAAGAATGTGCTTTCTTCTCCTCCCACTTAGCAGACACCTCTGAGAAGAAAGCCAGTCTCTGATGGGACTTCCTGCCCTCTGTTCTTAATGAGCGTTTGGAGGTAGTGAGCAGTGTGGCCATTCCTTTGAACCATGGGTCTGTGTAAACTGAGGCCATCAGGAGACAGGAATGCCCAGGTGTGAGCTTTCAGATCAGACGCTCTGTCTGGGTCTCGCCCTCCTGAAGGACTGCTGTTCTGAAAGCTCTCAGGCACCTCCACAAATCCATCCACAAAGGCTCCAAGACAGCCTCGTGGGCCGGATGCAGCTGTACACTCGCTTTGAAAAGAGCAGAGGGGCCGCGAGACCCCGCGGAGAACCGCCTGGTGTCACAGCGCAGGGGGAGGGGGAGAGAGTGCTGTGCCCAGGGCTCCCCTGGAGCCCACGCGGGGGGTGGGGGTGGGGGTGGGGTCCGGGAGGAGGCTGACGGGTCCGCGGTGCCCCCTGGTGGCCGCAGGGAGTCTGGCGCTCCCCCTCCTGAGGCAAGGAGATGCCCACTTCCTTCTCATTCCTGCGCGAGAGCCAACCCGGGCACCCACCCCACGTTCAGTGATGCCCTGCGGGCGGTGAGGTTTGGGAGGATTCAGGCCTGGCCTCTAAAACCAAGGGGTGAGGAGATTTGAGGACTGGACCTGGCTCCTGCTTTCAAGGGGTACTCTAAGCTTGCCCTGTCCTGACCAGGAACCACCAGCCCCATGGCCTTTGTGATTGGCCCCCTTTCTCCCAGAGCCCCCTGAAATCCCACTTTTCAAAAGTTATCACTCTGAGTTGGTAAGAACTTTTCAAAAAGCAAGTACATTGAGATGAAAGAGCTAACTCCTTGACTGAGCATTCTAGGACCCTAGGATGCCTTCGTGATGGAGGAGAGGCCCCCCCGAGGGAACTGGGGGGGGGATGGAGAGAAGGAAGTCATGTCCGGCTCATGGCCCCACGCCCCCACTTTGTGGCCAGCTCTCTGGTTTTGAGGCGCCTCTCACAGGCTGGCCTCTGCCCTTCCTAAGCATGTGTTTCCTGTTTGCCCTCCTCGTCCTTAGGACATGGGCAGTCTGATGCCCCCCTGGGACTTTTGGAAGAACCATAAGCAGATGTTCGGGGTTTGTTTTTTAACTTTCCTCTGTCATTCCAAGTCTGAGCAGTTTAACTGACTCAGGAAGCCTGACTTGCTTTTGAAATCTACATGCAAAGCTCATACGTTTTGTGTTCAGGGACCCTGGATACCTACGCGTAGTGGTAAGATGTGGAGGAGATGGAGTGAGTTTGTTCTGCAGCTTGGCGTGCTTCAGACACTGTTAAAGAAATGACTGTCTGGGAGCTGTACGTGTTAGCTGTGGTCCGCTCGCTGTCCCAGCAGCAGCAGGGGGCAGCACAGTTGTCCAGGGGTCACAGTGACACCCTTTGGCAGGCCCCTTGCAGGGAGGCTGTCCCACCTGGAGAGACTGTCCTCACGTGTAGGAAGGTGGAGTCTTTGCCAGTATGTTGGAGGCCTTCTCTGTGTTTTAGCGTTAAGTGAAAAGTGGATGGGGGCTCTCCAGGGTGGGACGTGGGGCCAAACTGGGTCTGCTTCTCACGTAGCGTTGTCGTGCCTCGAGACCTGCAGTGCCTCCAGTGTTTCTTTTGTTTTCTAGGCTTTTCTAAATTGGAAAGAGGCTAAATTGGCTTGGAGTTTTTTCAAACAGTCCTTCTTGAAACAGATTTTGACAGAAGGTAAGTAAAAAAAGGTCACTCTGAGCAGCTATGAGACCAGTCTAAGTGGGGGGACACCAGGGAGCTGCTGTGAGATGCAGCATCCCGCACCTGCTGTCCAGACGCCCCCCAGGCAGAGGAGTCTCAGAAATGGGAGTGTTTCAGACAAGGAGAGGGAAACTAACATGGGGCGCGCGGCTGTACCTGAGTCGTCTAGGGGGCTTCTTCCCGCAGCCCTGTGGGAAAGGGAGTGTCCCTGTTTATTACGGGTGAGGGACCTGAGCGTGTCCTACCATAGAAAGGAGCCACGTAACACGACCCCAGTCTAGCTCCGAACCCCTGTTGTAGCGTTTAAATCAATGTATTATAAAAGTATTATAATACTTTGTAACATATAATACTTTTATAATACATTTCATTATCCTATCCTAACTTTGTATATACTTTTTTCTTTTTTTGAGCTTTTCATCATTTCATTTTCTTAACTAATAGGACTCACCTGTGTGATAGTTGGGTCAGCCTCCCAACTTCTTAAGGCTTCCAGGTCGTGTGGTGACAGAGCTCTCGCTGCAGAGGGCCAGCGAGGAGCCGGAAGGCCATCTGCGTGTGCGCTGGCTTGTTTATACCCGGCTTTAGTTCAAATAATGAGATTTGAGGCAGCTATAAGCTGCTCAGTAGTAGTTTCTGTCTATATATAAAGTTCATATATCTATATATCTATTACTGAATGTATTTTTTTAATCTTTTCAAAAATTATTTTTCAATTATAGAAATTATATACCTCCATTACAAAAATTTCAGAAAATAGAAAAAAGTTTCCTATAATCCTGGCATTCTAATACAACCTTCATTATTATCTTGTTATTTCCCTTTTTCCCTTTTGTTTTTTATTAATTACACTTCCAAAGGGAAGTAACTGCCCCTAAGCCTCCCTCCGCTGTCTATGGGCTAAGGGGTAGGACGAGAGGCATCTGAAGGCTCCCTGGGCCGCAGGAATGTGTGTCTCTAGCCTGCGCCTGTAACATCGCCATTACAAAAGTGAAATTGCTTGCAGGACTTCTGGGGGAAGAACAAGCCCAGAACCTTCGGAGAGTGGGGTGAACTTAACTATAAGCTTCTTGAGAACAGGCTGTTCACCCTGTCTCCCCAGCGCCCTGCTGGGCCTGCACAGGTATTTGTTGATAAAGAAAGGCAACTGTCTATTGTGATAGTTCACATTATTGTTAGAACAGGAAAATCAATGGGGCAAGTTTTGGAAAGGGTGGTTGCTTGTATGCACTTGTTTTTCCTCTGAAAGTTGCAGAGCAGTTTAAGTAACTGGAGGAATGGATCCAGGCCAAGCAGTGGCCCGAAATTGGTTGTCTGGATGTTTTACAGAGCACGTGCCAGGATGTGCGAGCTAGGCCTGGATGTCGGGCAGACTGCCTGCCCCCTCCTGGCTGGGCCATGGTGGCCTGACCAGCACAGGCCCCTCAGGAACTTCACCTCCATGGCCGTGAAGTAAGGGAGTGGCTTGACAAAAACCCCCAGATTCTTTTTGCCTAAAAACTACAGCTCTAAAAAACTTGAAATCATTCATCGTGGCAGCGAAAGTGTATATGCTGTCCCCTCCTGCGCCCTCATGTCCCGGATGCTGCACTGGGAGCCAAGAACACCTGGATGAGTGAGCGGCAGGCCTCGGCCTCAGATGCAGAGGCTGGGCTCGGGGGGATTGGCAAGCGCCCTCTCGTTTCCCAGAGCTCCATGGGCAGCCAGGCCCATAGCCGTTGCTGAGACCGGGCCCGCCTTCTGGGAGCTTCCAGAATGGGAGAAGGCCCAGCCTATGGTGCTGGAATGCAGGGAGGTCCCTGCTGAAAAGCCATCCTAGTGGTGGGAATGCCAAGAGCACAGCCCGGCCCCGTCTGACTCAGGGTAGCGAGAGGGGCTGAAGCCCAGCAGAGTGTAGCTGAGGATGACAGGTGATGGTGGCAGAGGGGAGTCAGGCTGGTGAAGGGAAGCCAAAAAGATAGCTTGGGGTCTAATGTAAAAGGCCTCAGATGCAGGAATAAGGAGCCTGGACATTTTGCAAACACTAAAGAGATATTTAAAGCAGGGGTTGATTTTAAGATCTATGTTTGCAGCAGCCGGAACTGTTAGTAGTGAGTGTAGATTGGAGCAGTGCAGATACGGATGGGAGCCCGTGTAGTCCCATGGGCCAGTGCCTGGGGACCTGCAGAGGTCCTGGCCACAGACGCAGTGTCTGGGAGGTTGTAGGGAGGCAAGGATCAGAGAGATGTGGGAGCAGAACATCCCTGCTTCTGGCCTGTTGGTGTCACTTGCCATTGAGCAGGTTGCTAGGAGGTGAGAATTTGCCTTTAGGGCTGCAGGCTCTCCAGTGCTCATGTCCATAGTGGGCAATGCTTTCCACTCATGCATGACAAGAAAATTCATGGAAGCAGGGGGACAGGAGACTTGGGCTGGTGTCTTCACCTTGAAGGTATTAGACTGTCTTAGATTTGAATTTTGAACTTGGCTCCAGAGCCTTGCCAGCCTCCATGGAGCTTTTCCCACCCAGGGAGGAAACTTGATAAGTGTGTACATATTCATGGATCTGCACATTTCACAGAACTCACATTCAGATTGACTAACCTCCCTTAAAACTGGAGATACCATTTTCATTATTAACATTTTAGTGATCTCCCCCTACTTTTCTTTTTTAACTTACTTGACTGGTTGTACTGAATTTGTTTAGTTTTGTTTTTAATTTAAGTGGTTTGGAGATTTGCTGTCCATAAATCTCCCAGCATTTCCCAGTTGTTACTATCGTTGACCCTTGAACAACATGGGTTTAAACTGTGTGGGTCCAGTTACATGTGGATTTTTTCCTAATAAATATATTGGAATAACTTGTGGAGATTTGCAACAATTTGAAAAAACATTTTCTTTTCTCTAACCTGCTTCATTGTAAGAATATAGTGTAATACATATAGAAAACATAGGTTAATCAACTGTTTATGTTATCAGTAAGGATTCCAGTCAACAGCAGGCTGTTAGTAATTAAGTTTTTAGGGAATCCAAACTCATACACGATTTTCCAACTGTGCAGGGGGTGGTTCAGAACCCAAATCCCATCTTGTTCAAGGGTCAGCCATATTTTGAAATTATTTGGAATCAGCATCAGGACAAGCAGCATTCTTTAATAATGATCATCTAATTTTTCTCCTTTGAGAGTATCTGCCAGGTGGAAAAGTTGACAGACAATAAGAGAAAAGGAAACAAGAAAAACAATGTGTATTTGAAATGCTAATAATTTTGCTTTTTTATTTGTAGGTGAGCGATATGTGATGACATTTTTGAATGTGTTAAATTTTGGTGATCAGGGTAAGATGAAATTCTGCAGTGGTTTAATTAAAGGTGAACACTGTTAGTAAATGCTTTCTAATATTTTTCTCAATGGTTTGATGCATTCAAGGAAAAATGAACCTGGTGATTATAAAAAAGGAAGATTGTAAAACAAATGAATCCTGAAGATTGAAAATTGTAGGTCTTTGTAAAAATATACAGTGCCCTGACTGCCCCCTCCCAGGTGGTGCAGGTTGCAGGTCTCCTGTTGAGAACCCTGCCCTTCCCGTGCGTTCTGCAGAGCCCTGGTGCTGACGCTGGGGGCTGGGGGGTGCAAAGAGAAGAGAGAGGGGACCCGTCATTAGGATCACAGACATTTGCCTCCGCCCCCCATTTATGTGGACAGAGAGGTCTTAGTATTTTTTTCATGTTATTTTTGAATAGAACCCCAAAGTAGTAGAAGTAAAAATAGAAAAAAAACAACAACTTGGCATTAACAATGTTTATAAAAAAGTGCTGGTGATGGAAATGTTCTGTAACTTGACTGTATCAGTGTCAGTATCCTCACTGCGATGTTACAGTTTCCAAACTGTTACTATTCAGGGAAACTGTAAAGAGTCCTTGCATCTATCTGGTATTTCTTATATGTCATGTAAATCTATAATTACCTCAAAAAGTTTAATTAAAAAATTAGAACAAAATTTTTAGTAGTGCCATGAAAATTCAAAAGGAAAACCAGTAGGTTTGTGGTTTGCTCCTTTTTGTTTTGTAGGTGTGTATGATGTCGTGAATAATCTTGGCTCCCTTGTGGCCAGATTAATTTTCCAGCCAATAGAGGAGAGTTTTTACATATTCTTTGCCAAGGTGCTGGAGAGAGAAAAGGATGCCACACGCCAGAAGCAGGTAGCCTTGGTGCTCATATCACTGTCTCTCCGGTGAAGCCTCTAATCGCAAGATGGACAGAACTGTGGAGCAGTCTGTCTGACCTGCTGGTTTCTCCTAGGTTTCATTTTTCTATCAGACTCTGAATGGGGACCCTGAGCTCACTTTTTTCTCTGCCTTCTCCCTCCCCCTGCCTTCCCGGCTGGCCTTTCCTTCTCACCTCTTGTCCTTTCTGTCACCTTATTCTTGACCCAGCCCTTCTGAACTCTGTGTGGCCGTCCCCAGGACAGTGCAGACCCCTGCCCCCCATGGTCTAGCCTTTGGTGTAAGAATGAGGTTGCCCCCCTCACCCTCAGACGCTCAAGAACCAGAGGCAAGCTGAAGGATGCAGAGATGGGGGCAGGGCTAGCCCGGGACACCGGGAGACAGGACGTGGTCCTTTGGTCTCATTCACTGCCTGTTGGTTAAGCATCCTGAGGCGTGTGAAGTGCCCAGAGCCACATCCCAACTGTGCAGATCTGCACGTTGTGCTTGGTCAATAGAGCAGAGATTTTAGTGCAGGAGCATTTGGTTGTAAAGACTTTCCTTTTACTAAAACCACTGAAAATGTCTCACTTACCTTAGAATTAAAAACCAGCTAAGTCTGGCTCTTACATGTCTTAGATGACATTTTGCAAAATATAATTTATATACAATATCTCAAAATGAGCAAGTCTGGTTGTCAGTCTGGTTTAGGAATATTTTCCTAAGGGAGCATCGATAGAACATCAGGCTTTGGAGACATTCGTCGGGAGAAGCGCACTGACAAGCTAGCTGGCAGTGGAAAACCTTGCTGTCCATTTAAGAATGAAGTATCAGAGGGGAAAGTGCTTCCTAAGCCACATTTGAAATAACTCACCCCGAAGGAGTCAGAAGCTAAAGCTCCCTGGCCCTTCCCGAGGAGGCACCCATTGTCTTTACTCCCTCGTTTGCTAATGGGACGGAAAGGCCACTGGCTGCAGGAAAGCTGTGCGGCCCCCGCCGGGGAAGGAGTGGCCTGTAGGACCTCAGAGGGAGAGGCCGGCGGGATGGGTGGGATGGGTGGTTGGTCAGCTCACGGCCCACCCGGCTCCCTTCCCTCCCCGGCCCCAGGAGGATGCTGCTGCGGCTGCCACAGTCTTGGAGTCCCTGCTCAAGGTGGCCCTGCTCACCGGCCTGACCATCACTGTCTTTGGCTTTGCCTATTCTCAGCTGGCTCTGGATATCTACGGAGGGGCCATGCTCAGCTCAGGGTCAGGTACGCATGAGAGTTTTGCCCGGTTTGCTCTAGTTTCCAAACGGAGGTAGAGGAGTCCTATGAGCTCCCAGAACTGGGTGCACGGTCGGCGTCCGTGATGGCAAGTTGGGGGGTGGTGCTCATCAGGGGCTCGAGCCGCCAGGCTGGGACCAGCTCTGGCGTGGCCACAGCGTTGGCCCAGGTCAGCCAGGCCCCCGAGCTCGCCTGGAGAGGTTGTTAAGGGTCCCTGGCTTTCCCCTCAGGCCTAACATGTGCTTGGCCACGCGCTGCCCTGTGCTCCCGCTGGGGAAAGGGAGGCGGGCCGGCCGCAGGCTCCAATGAGTCTCCACTTGGTACTAAACACATCCGAAGATAGTAAATGCCACATAAATCTCACGGCCTGATGTATAAAAGCCTCTGAAGGATAACCCTGAGCCATTTGCAGAGAATAAAATTGATCTCAGCAAATAAAATGGTATGTTTAATCCAGTGACTCTCGGTTTTTGAAGGAGCGAAGTATTGAATGTGTCTGGCTTTGAAACACCTGGTGCCCAGGCCACCGAGCATTTCATGGCACTCGCTGGGTCTGGGGGAAGCCACCAATCCCAAATGTGTTGGGCCATCAGCTAGCAGATCATTTGCAGTATTTCATCTCGGGTTTGGCAAAGATATTTCTAATTCCCCAGGTCACTAAACAAGAGCCCCGAAGACTTCCTTCAGTTGCCCCATCCCGATACAGAAGGGCTTGTCAGATGCCGTTTTCCAAGTTCACTGGCGTGTTTTAGTCCCCGCTGTAGTGGCCCAAACTTTTGGTGTTAGGGGAGGAAGAGCCAGGTTTCTCCAGGAGAGCAAAGGTCCTTAAGTGTGGAGAGCTACCTCCTGTGAGGCCAGTGAAGTGGTTTGCAGCTCCCTGGGGCCTGTGCTGTGACAAGCAGGGAGGCCTCGTTAGGAAGCCATTAGGAAGCTGGCATGTGGAGCCTGGGGACTCGGCAGCTGCAGGGAACGGCCTCTAGTGTCCGCGGTCAGGACAGTGCCATGTCCCACCGAGATGACCTCCACCTGGGGGGTGATTAATCTAGGCGACACAGAAGCCAACTGCTGTAATGGTGTAGTCCTTGTGCTCAAGTGGGGAGCTGGTGCCGCTGATAACTGGTTTATCAAGTAACGGGTCAGTGGTAGTTGGTGTCTACAGTAATGAATTCTGTCTCCAGTGGTTTATGTCAGAGCCACTGATACTTTTAGACTTAAAAACATACTTGGTATCATCTTCAGAGAGAGTCGAGGCTTGAGAATGGTCTGGTTTTGGTCTCTGAAAAGAAAGCGTGGTGTGGTGTGTCACAGCGGGGCCTCACCAATATGGCCACTGTCATCCCCTGCCCCCAGGGTCACTGTCAAGCCTGTGTCTCCTCACTGTGGCAGCCTCTCATTTTGACCAAGCGGCCAGCTCTCTGTGAAGCCTGTTGCAGCTTCTGGCAGGGTCCGTGCACCTCCCCAAACCTGACTTTCCTCAGGTCTTCCTGAATGAATTAGAAAAGAATGGCCACCTTATGTGGCTCAGCCCAGCCACCTGAGTTTGGAAAGTGGTGCTCGCGACATTTCTGTCCTTTTGCCCAGTCACGTGTGGGTCTTGTCAGCACCTCTGTCCTGCCCTGGCCTCAGACCCTGCTCTGCGCTGCCATCCCCACATGTGGGGCCTGGGTGCAGCACGGCAGGTGCGTGGGCGCAGGGGCTTCGCTCTGTGGCACGTGGGTTGGCCCTGTGTGTCATCAGGGCTGTGTGGCCAGGCCCGTGGGCCCTTCTCACAGGTCTTTCCCACACCGAGCGTCCACCCCTAAGAAATGAACACTCGGCCCGCCTCCCTGGGCTTCTCTCGGGTGCTTCCCTCTCGCCCTTCCTTCTCCTTTGTGAAGCCTCCTCTCTCTCTTCCGGTGTTAGTGTCCTAGGCTGCAGTAACGGTCCCACGGACTGGGTGGCTTACAACAACGGCGCTTTCTTGGCCCCCAGCTGTGGAGGTCACACGTCTGGGATGAGGGTGTCGGCAGGGCCACTGGGGGAGGCCCTCCCTGGCCTCTTCCAGCGCCCGGTGTCAGGCTTGTGAGGTCTCCCTCCTCCTCACATCCTGTCCTCTTCTGTTTCTTCACGTGGTTTTCCCTCCGTGAATGTCTGCCTCTGGGTCCAAAGTTCCCCTTTTATAAGGACACCGGTTGTAATGGACTAGGGCCACCCTAACAACCTCATTTTAACTCAGTTGTCTCTGTACAGACCCTCTTCCCAAATAACATCATGTTCTTGGGGCTGCGTTAGGAGACTTCAGCATCCCATGCTGGGTAGAATCCAACCCATTCCACCCCTCAATCCAGTCCATAGTTTAAGGTCCACCCAGGAGTTCCCCACTGTCAGCCTCTTTCCCCACATTGCCTCAAAGTTCTTCAACCTCAGTCACCGTCTCATGGAAGAATTCATCCTCTCCATGTTGCAAAGCAGCTCACGCGCCTTCAGGGAGACCCGCATGTGCTGTCAGCCTTCAGCTACCTGTGGGCCAAACCCTGCTCCTCTCTCAGACCAGAGGCTGTGGGGAGGCAGGCCGCGCTGAGCGTGGCCTCAAGCCCTCCCAGAGCAGAGCCTGGCCCCGGCCTCCGCCGCTGGAATCATCCCTCAGCTGCGTGAGGCCAGGCCACCTTCCGCAGTGGCTGGGGGAGAGATGCTACAGGCCCTGGCGGAGGGGCAGATGAGTGAGGCCACAGGGCCTGGCCCTGTGCTGGGCAGCAGGCCAGCCTGCCTGCTGCCAGTGTTCCTGTAGTGAGAGCCGACTGCCGGGAGACCGTGTGGGTGCCCTCCGCGTGGGGTCCTTTCTGCTAAGCAGCTTTCATAAACTATGAGTTCCAGATTCAGAGACTCTGGAATTTCAGACAACCCCCTGCTCCCCCTTTCTTTTAGTGGTTAAACTGTCTCTTTATTGAGGTCTAAGTTACATCAAGTGACACGCTGTGCTCTGGCATACGGCTTGATGAGCTCTGACAAAGAGACGCCGGCGTCCAGTTTAAGGTACAGAATGTTCCGTTAGCTCGGACAGGCCTTTCAGGACCTTCCCAGTCCTGCCCCTCCACCTCGGGGTGAGCGCTGCTCTGATCTCTAGCACCACATTTGTACTGCCTTTAAACAGAGCTTCATATAAATGAAGTCAAGTCTTGTGTTTGGCTTCGTTCCCTCCGTGTGAACTTTCTGAGATCCATCCATGTCTTCACGTGGATCGGTGGTTTTCTCTCTGCTGAGAAGTGTTCTTTGGCTGGCTGGCCCGCAGTGTGTTTGTGATAAACCGCTGTGAACGCTTCTGTGAGCAGGCACCCTGCTGCTTTCTGTTGGACATACACCTAGGAGGAGAGTCGCTGGGCCCTAGGTCGAGCATTTCTTTATTTTATTAGAAATTGTTCGGCTGCCTCTTGATAACAGCCCTCTTAAAAGAGGGGATCAAGCCCCTTTTTAAAGCTCGCAATCTTTTGTTAGAGTTTTCCAAAGCTTTTTAGTTAGCTGAAGAGCCAATCACTCTGTTTTAGAAGAAGAAAGCGCTGTGGGCTCTGATCCTCCCTGCAGACCGGTGGGTGTTCGGTCTCCGTGGGTCCCTGCTTCTGTCAAGGCCTGGGCACCTCCCCAGGGTTCTTTCTGCAGAAGCTCCTCAGCTGAGGCTCCTCTGGCATGCAGGGCCACATGTGTCCTCCCGTGCTCTAACTAGCAGCCTCTATACTGATGTAAAAAGCAAGATTTGCTTGCTGGCCAGAGAAGCTTTTAGTTGTTAAGCAACATATCTGTACATTTATTTGTAATTGTCCTTTTTGTTTTTAGCTCTTTATTCTAGTCAGTGCCACAGAATGCTGGGAGTCCTTCCAAATAATTAAGACCTTAGGCTCGAGCATGCATCTGCCCACTGACGATACCAGCAGGGCTTGTGACCCAGTTCTGGTGGTCTCTGCTTGCTCCACTGAGGGCGCATGGGGGCCTCCCGTTCAGGCCCTGGAGTCTCAATGGGCTGTTTCCTTATAGGTCCTGTTTTGCTGCGTTCCTATTGTCTTTACGTCCTCCTGCTTGCCATCAATGGGGTGACTGAGTGTTTCACATTCGCTGCCATGAGCAAAGAGGAACTCGACAGGTGGGTAACCTTAAAGGCCTTCATCATAGCCTCCAGCCAAATGCAGGAACTTGCCAATCCTCTTTTTGTTCCGCACCTGCATTTACAGGGAACCACCTGGCCACTAGTGACGGGCCTCCCCAGGCTCTCCGGGGCACAGCTCCATTCCCTCGGTCCCCTGTCGGGCTGGGGGCAGCAGCTGCTCTTTGCCTCCCTCTGTGGAGGGGGAAGGTGGCCCTCGATGCTTGCGTTTGTCCAGGTTTGCAGAGGCAGGCCCCAGATGAGCCCCACTCCTCCCCTCCCACCCCGCGTGCAGGGGCCCCCAAGGGCTTCTCCAAGGTGCCAGGTCCCAGCTGAGAGTCTGCTCTGCAGGTCTTTGAGGATCTCACCGATCAGCGACACCTCTCCTCAGAGAAAGACCCGAGGGCACGTAAGCATTTCTTCAGTACCCCTGCCCTGGAACCCCCAGCCATGGTTCTCGATGCTGGTTATGAGTCACATGCCCCCATGGGGCCTGACTGAAGCGCAGGTTCCCGTCTCACTCTCTCCCACCATACCGCAGAATCAGCAGGCCCCAGGCATGTGTATACTGTTTAAAAACTCTGATTCTGACACCAGCTCCTGGGTAAGCGCCTCTGGCCACACCGGGGGTCATTCATCTCGCGTCTCAGATGCTGCAGGGCAGTAGCCTGAGACGCCGCTGCAGGATGAGGTTGAGGGGAAGGACAGGGCTGGCAGGGAAAAGGAGGGGAAGCAGGAGAGGGCGGAAGGGGCGGGACCAGGCTGGGGGATGGCCCACGCTGGCCCTGTGCTGGCATCTGTGCTGGCGTCTGTGCTGCCTCTGTAGTGCCTTGAGTGCTGTAGAGGCTTGAGCCCCGGCTGGGATGGCGGGGAAAGTGCAGCCCAAGTTGCTGGGGAGCGCTTCCTCGCCCTCAGAGCTGCCTCCCGCAGGCCCACTTGGAGAGGCTTGCTGACTCTGCGCCTTCCGGTCGAGGGCCAGAGGGCCAGTGTCTAGAGCAGCGGTCAGGGCCAGACCATCCGGTTCTCTGGGAAGTTCTGGCCCCGCCCAGTGTCGGACCTGGCAGCCCCGCTTCTGCCAGGGACTGGCCCCACACCCGCGCCCTGGCCCTGGTCTGAGCACAGGGAGTGCCTGGGCTCATCACAGGCGTTTCGTTTCTATGAATTTGACCAGACATAAAACTCCAGCAAGGATCTTGATAGGAGAATTGGGCAGCTTAGTTAAATGTTATGATTGGCGTAATTGGACATTTCAAATTCTGAATTGAAAAAAAATTGATAAAACCATGAGCTTTTTCTCCCATCCAAAGTGCTGACCAGGCCCGACCCTGCTTAGCTTCCAAGATCAGATGAGATCATGTGCATTCAGGGTGGTCTGGCTGTAGACTATGGGCTTTTTTTTAACCAACTCCAGGTTAAGTTAGTGTTTTTTTAATGTAAAAATTTTGAATTCATTGCAAGTTGCCCCTTTTTGTTAATAACCACATATGTAGAATATGATTGATGGCGTTTTCATTACACCTATTGAAGAATTTTTGTTCTGTTAAGGATATCTCATTTTCTTTCATTTGACAAGTACTTTTTGAGCATCTACTCTCTCACAGGCCTTGTTTTAAGCTCCAGGAATAGAGGAATGAACCAGGCAAACAAGATTCTGGCTCCCCTGAAGTTGGCACTGGTGGAGGCAGACGGCAGACAAGCACATTAGAATGAGGAATGTGCCGTGCAGAGAACGAAAACAGGGTTACGTGCTGGGAGTGGGGGCCCCGTTAGATTGGAGGTCCCCTGAGGAGGTGCCCTTTGGGCTGAGACCTGGGTGACCAAGAAGAGTGTGCCGTGCAGGGGTACCGGGCAGAGCCTTCCGGGCAGAGGGGACAGTGACACAAAGGCCCCAAACTGGCAGCTCCTGTGTCAGATTGGCCGGCCCCTGGGTGCCCAGCATGGAGCTGGACTCTAGCTTGAACGGAGGATGAGCACCACCTCGCTTCGGCAAGTCGTACCCTCTCTGGAATGCTGGACGAAGCAGCCGCCCTGGTGGAGCGTGGCCGTGTGTGCTTGTATTACTCTTACCACCCGCTCTGTTAAAGTCTGTCTCCACAGCACCTTGGCCTTCTCAGCCTGAGGTCCAGTACCTGGGCATTCCGGGGACACGGTGGCCTTATGACCACCCCTTGTGTGCACAACCTGTGTGGCTGCCTCTAACATCTCCTGACCCTCAGACACAGTTTGGGGACTTTGGTCCCCTCAGCAGCGACGTACTTAGCATGCCTGCTGTGCGCTGCAGAAGCCAGGTGCTGGAGGACTTTGTTCATGGCTGTACAATAAGCCTGCATTTTATCTTTGCTGAGACTCAGTTTTCCTTGCTGAGATCTGAAGATGACTAAGTGACGCGCTGTGAAATCAGAGGAGTGAGTGGACCGGCATCCTTGGTCCTGTCATAGGACCCAGAGCCCCAGAGTGTGGCCGGAGGGATGTGTGAGCATCCGGGAGCCCCGAGGGGCCCAGGCCTGCTCCCTGTCTGCATCTCACTGGGAGCTGGCCTCTTGCTTTGAGGATGGGCCACTGGCCACAGTGATGGGCCTGCTGCCCTTCCCAAGGCAAGTGGTGTGAGGCCCCCGGTTCAGGGGCAGAGGTCAGGTTGGAGTGTCACTCACTCCTTAGGAAAATTACTCAGCCTCTCTGTGCCTGGTGTCCTTGTCTATAAAGAGAATCTGAGCTCCCTGTGGTGAGGGCCACGTGTGTTCAGTCCCAGTGCAGCCCCAGCACCACGCGCAGAGCCTGTTAGGGAGGCGGCATTCACATAATTACTATTCCTGGTGTCGTAGTCTCATGCTGCATGTTGAAGACGGGCTGAGCAGGATTTTTAAGTGTTTTGATCAGAAAGTGTCTGTGGGGCCTGGGTGCAGCACGGCAGGTGCGTGGGCGCAGGGGCTTCGCTCTGTGGCACGTGGGTTGGCCCTGTGTGTCATCAGGGCTGTGTGGCCAGGCCCGTGGGCCCTTCTCACAGGTCTTTCCCACACCGAGCGTCCACCCCTAAGAAATGAACACTCGGCCCGCCTCCCTGGGCTTCTCTCGGGTGCTTCCCTCTCGCCCTTCCTTCTCCTTTGTGAAGCCTCCTCTCTCTCTTCCGGTGTTAGTGTCCTAGGCTGCAGTAACGGTCCCACGGACTGGGTGGCTTACAACAACGGCGCTTTCTTGGCCCCCAGCTGTGGAGGTCACACGTCTGGGATGAGGGTGTCGGCAGGGCCACTGGGGGAGGCCCTCCCTGGCCTCTTCCAGCGCCCGGTGTCAGGCTTGTGAGGTCTCCCTCCTCCTCACATCCTGTCCTCTTCTGTTTCTTCACGTGGTTTTCCCTCCGTGAATGTCTGCCTCTGGGTCCAAAGTTCCCCTTTTATAAGGACACCGGTTGTAATGGACTAGGGCCACCCTAACAACCTCATTTTAACTCAGTTGTCTCTGTACAGACCCTCTTCCCAAATAACATCATGTTCTTGGGGCTGCGTTAGGAGACTTCAGCATCCCATGCTGGGTAGAATCCAACCCATTCCACCCCTCAATCCAGTCCATAGTTTAAGGTCCACCCAGGAGTTCCCCACTGTCAGCCTCTTTCCCCACATTGCCTCAAAGTTCTTCAACCTCAGTCACCGTCTCATGGAAGAATTCATCCTCTCCATGTTGCAAAGCAGCTCACGCGCCTTCAGGGAGACCCGCATGTGCTGTCAGCCTTCAGCTACCTGTGGGCCAAACCCTGCTCCTCTCTCAGACCAGAGGCTGTGGGGAGGCAGGCCGCGCTGAGCGTGGCCTCAAGCCCTCCCAGAGCAGAGCCTGGCCCCGGCCTCCGCCGCTGGAATCATCCCTCAGCTGCGTGAGGCCAGGCCACCTTCCGCAGTGGCTGGGGGAGAGATGCTACAGGCCCTGGCGGAGGGGCAGATGAGTGAGGCCACAGGGCCTGGCCCTGTGCTGGGCAGCAGGCCAGCCTGCCTGCTGCCAGTGTTCCTGTAGTGAGAGCCGACTGCCGGGAGACCGTGTGGGTGCCCTCCGCGTGGGGTCCTTTCTGCTAAGCAGCTTTCATAAACTATGAGTTCCAGATTCAGAGACTCTGGAATTTCAGACAACCCCCTGCTCCCCCTTTCTTTTAGTGGTTAAACTGTCTCTTTATTGAGGTCTAAGTTACATCAAGTGACACGCTGTGCTCTGGCATACGGCTTGATGAGCTCTGACAAAGAGACGCCGGCGTCCAGTTTAAGGTACAGAATGTTCCGTTAGCTCGGACAGGCCTTTCAGGACCTTCCCAGTCCTGCCCCTCCACCTCGGGGTGAGCGCTGCTCTGATCTCTAGCACCACATTTGTACTGCCTTTAAACAGAGCTTCATATAAATGAAGTCAAGTCTTGTGTTTGGCTTCGTTCCCTCCGTGTGAACTTTCTGAGATCCATCCATGTCTTCACGTGGATCGGTGGTTTTCTCTCTGCTGAGAAGTGTTCTTTGGCTGGCTGGCCCGCAGTGTGTTTGTGATAAACCGCTGTGAACGCTTCTGTGAGCAGGCACCCTGCTGCTTTCTGTTGGACATACACCTAGGAGGAGAGTCGCTGGGCCCTAGGTCGAGCATTTCTTTATTTTATTAGAAATTGTTCGGCTGCCTCTTGATAACAGCCCTCTTAAAAGAGGGGATCAAGCCCCTTTTTAAAGCTCGCAATCTTTTGTTAGAGTTTTCCAAAGCTTTTTAGTTAGCTGAAGAGCCAATCACTCTGTTTTAGAAGAAGAAAGCGCTGTGGGCTCTGATCCTCCCTGCAGACCGGTGGGTGTTCGGTCTCCGTGGGTCCCTGCTTCTGTCAAGGCCTGGGCACCTCCCCAGGGTTCTTTCTGCAGAAGCTCCTCAGCTGAGGCTCCTCTGGCATGCAGGGCCACATGTGTCCTCCCGTGCTCTAACTAGCAGCCTCTATACTGATGTAAAAAGCAAGATTTGCTTGCTGGCCAGAGAAGCTTTTAGTTGTTAAGCAACATATCTGTACATTTATTTGTAATTGTCCTTTTTGTTTTTAGCTCTTTATTCTAGTCAGTGCCACAGAATGCTGGGAGTCCTTCCAAATAATTAAGACCTTAGGCTCGAGCATGCATCTGCCCACTGACGATACCAGCAGGGCTTGTGACCCAGTTCTGGTGGTCTCTGCTTGCTCCACTGAGGGCGCATGGGGGCCTCCCGTTCAGGCCCTGGAGTCTCAATGGGCTGTTTCCTTATAGGTCCTGTTTTGCTGCGTTCCTATTGTCTTTACGTCCTCCTGCTTGCCATCAATGGGGTGACTGAGTGTTTCACATTCGCTGCCATGAGCAAAGAGGAACTCGACAGGTGGGTAACCTTAAAGGCCTTCATCATAGCCTCCAGCCAAATGCAGGAACTTGCCAATCCTCTTTTTGTTCCGCACCTGCATTTACAGGGAACCACCTGGCCACTAGTGACGGGCCTCCCCAGGCTCTCCGGGGCACAGCTCCATTCCCTCGGTCCCCTGTCGGGCTGGGGGCAGCAGCTGCTCTTTGCCTCCCTCTGTGGAGGGGGAAGGTGGCCCTCGATGCTTGCGTTTGTCCAGGTTTGCAGAGGCAGGCCCCAGATGAGCCCCACTCCTCCCCTCCCACCCCGCGTGCAGGGGCCCCCAAGGGCTTCTCCAAGGTGCCAGGTCCCAGCTGAGAGTCTGCTCTGCAGGTCTTTGAGGATCTCACCGATCAGCGACACCTCTCCTCAGAGAAAGACCCGAGGGCACGTAAGCATTTCTTCAGTACCCCTGCCCTGGAACCCCCAGCCATGGTTCTCGATGCTGGTTATGAGTCACATGCCCCCATGGGGCCTGACTGAAGCGCAGGTTCCCGTCTCACTCTCTCCCACCATACCGCAGAATCAGCAGGCCCCAGGCATGTGTATACTGTTTAAAAACTCTGATTCTGACACCAGCTCCTGGGTAAGCGCCTCTGGCCACACCGGGGGTCATTCATCTCGCGTCTCAGATGCTGCAGGGCAGTAGCCTGAGACGCCGCTGCAGGATGAGGTTGAGGGGAAGGACAGGGCTGGCAGGGAAAAGGAGGGGAAGCAGGAGAGGGCGGAAGGGGCGGGACCAGGCTGGGGGATGGCCCACGCTGGCCCTGTGCTGGCATCTGTGCTGGCGTCTGTGCTGCCTCTGTAGTGCCTTGAGTGCTGTAGAGGCTTGAGCCCCGGCTGGGATGGCGGGGAAAGTGCAGCCCAAGTTGCTGGGGAGCGCTTCCTCGCCCTCAGAGCTGCCTCCCGCAGGCCCACTTGGAGAGGCTTGCTGACTCTGCGCCTTCCGGTCGAGGGCCAGAGGGCCAGTGTCTAGAGCAGCGGTCAGGGCCAGACCATCCGGTTCTCTGGGAAGTTCTGGCCCCGCCCAGTGTCGGACCTGGCAGCCCCGCTTCTGCCAGGGACTGGCCCCACACCCGCGCCCTGGCCCTGGTCTGAGCACAGGGAGTGCCTGGGCTCATCACAGGCGTTTCGTTTCTATGAATTTGACCAGACATAAAACTCCAGCAAGGATCTTGATAGGAGAATTGGGCAGCTTAGTTAAATGTTATGATTGGCGTAATTGGACATTTCAAATTCTGAATTGAAAAAAAATTGATAAAACCATGAGCTTTTTCTCCCATCCAAAGTGCTGACCAGGCCCGACCCTGCTTAGCTTCCAAGATCAGATGAGATCATGTGCATTCAGGGTGGTCTGGCTGTAGACTATGGGCTTTTTTTTAACCAACTCCAGGTTAAGTTAGTGTTTTTTTAATGTAAAAATTTTGAATTCATTGCAAGTTGCCCCTTTTTGTTAATAACCACATATGTAGAATATGATTGATGGCGTTTTCATTACACCTATTGAAGAATTTTTGTTCTGTTAAGGATATCTCATTTTCTTTCATTTGACAAGTACTTTTTGAGCATCTACTCTCTCACAGGCCTTGTTTTAAGCTCCAGGAATAGAGGAATGAACCAGGCAAACAAGATTCTGGCTCCCCTGAAGTTGGCACTGGTGGAGGCAGACGGCAGACAAGCACATTAGAATGAGGAATGTGCCGTGCAGAGAACGAAAACAGGGTTACGTGCTGGGAGTGGGGGCCCCGTTAGATTGGAGGTCCCCTGAGGAGGTGCCCTTTGGGCTGAGACCTGGGTGACCAAGAAGAGTGTGCCGTGCAGGGGTACCGGGCAGAGCCTTCCGGGCAGAGGGGACAGTGACACAAAGGCCCCAAACTGGCAGCTCCTGTGTCAGATTGGCCGGCCCCTGGGTGCCCAGCATGGAGCTGGACTCTAGCTTGAACGGAGGATGAGCACCACCTCGCTTCGGCAAGTCGTACCCTCTCTGGAATGCTGGACGAAGCAGCCGCCCTGGTGGAGCGTGGCCGTGTGTGCTTGTATTACTCTTACCACCCGCTCTGTTAAAGTCTGTCTCCACAGCACCTTGGCCTTCTCAGCCTGAGGTCCAGTACCTGGGCATTCCGGGGACACGGTGGCCTTATGACCACCCCTTGTGTGCACAACCTGTGTGGCTGCCTCTAACATCTCCTGACCCTCAGACACAGTTTGGGGACTTTGGTCCCCTCAGCAGCGACGTACTTAGCATGCCTGCTGTGCGCTGCAGAAGCCAGGTGCTGGAGGACTTTGTTCATGGCTGTACAATAAGCCTGCATTTTATCTTTGCTGAGACTCAGTTTTCCTTGCTGAGATCTGAAGATGACTAAGTGACGCGCTGTGAAATCAGAGGAGTGAGTGGACCGGCATCCTTGGTCCTGTCATAGGACCCAGAGCCCCAGAGTGTGGCCGGAGGGATGTGTGAGCATCCGGGAGCCCCGAGGGGCCCAGGCCTGCTCCCTGTCTGCATCTCACTGG